CCGCCCCGCCCCCGGCACCTGCCGCCGCCCGCCGGCGCGGGACAGCAGCCTGCAGCCCCCGCAGGGGGTGCGAAGAGGCCGGAGCCGGGCTCGGCGGGACAAGGAGCAGCGGGCTCGATGCGGGGGGGCAGGTTAGAGACTAGGAGGGGGAAGCACTGGCACAGGTCACCCGGAGCGCGGGGCACTCTCCAGCCCTGGTGGCTTTTAAGACCCGGCTACACAAAGCCTTGGCTGGGGTGATGTAGTTGGGGCCACAGCGTTGGCCTAGATGCGAGGTCCTGAGCTCCCTTCCCAGCCTCTCGACATAAATTCAGCCTCTCTGTCCAGAGGCCGGATCGTGGGGGCTGATAGCTCACCCTGTCAAACGTTTCACTCACAGGTCACAACAGAAGAAAGTGGATGGAAACGACGGCCTGAAAACTTCTGAAGCTGGAACGGGCAATGAGGCATAAACCATAAAGCCGAGATGATGATGACGACGAGGACAAACGTGGGCACCTTGCTGGACCTGATGATCTTCCAAGGTCCCTTCCAGCCTTAGAAAGTATAAATCTATGAAAAGGTTATAAAAAAAAATAATCAAATTAATCTTCCGCAGTGAAGCCAGGTTCAACTAGTTTTCTATGATGGGATGTGGCAGGGATGGATCCAGCCCTGGGTGGCTCGGGAGCTCCAGCAGGACCTTTCCGAGCTGGAGGAAACGCAGGGAGACAAATGTGGGAGGGAGGCGGGGGGCAGAGAGGGCGAAGCTGGAGAGAGGATGGCTCCCCAGCGGAGTGACCCCTCCCCACCACGTCTGCCCGGATCAGGTGCTGGAAACCAGCTCTAGCCGTCAGGTCCCTGCAGGCGCTGAGCTCCCCGGAGGAGGCTGCAGCGTTTGGTTTGTGAAATAAGAGGTTCATTGATTCTCAGAGTAAAGTCCGCGGTGGCGCGTTGCTGCTTTCCGGAGCGCCGGCCCCTCAAAATCTCCCACGGCCCCGTGGAGGAAGGGGTGGAAAAGCCAGCGAGGACAGGCTGGGGCAGCAGGAAGGAGCCAGGCCTGACTTTGCTCGCATTGGGAGAGGACTGGGCTTTTACAGTGCACCCTGCCCATCTAGCAACACATCCAGGGCAGGATGAGGCCCATCCTGGAACCACGACAAATCGGGACACACGTGGCAGCCACCACCTCGGGCACGCGGGGTTGATCCCTGCTCCTAAGGCCAGGGCTGCCATTGACTCACATCACTAGAAAATGGGTGTTTCTCCCACCATAGCCCGCCAGCCCATTCTGGACCCGGCCGCGAGTCCCTGGTAATTGTTGACCGTTGCCGTGGCTAGCAGCCCACAGGGAAAAGCAAGGGGCAGACTGGAGTCCCCAGGTCCCACGCTGCTCGGGGGACACTGGTGACGGCTGGAGACTTGGAAGCCAATAGACAAGAAATCAGCAGACGCAGGAGAGGCGGGGGAGAGCGAGGAGGCTCTGAAGCCTGGATCCTGCCGGGCAGACCCCCGGGCCACACGTGGACGGGTTGCTTTGGCGCACCATGCGGGAACTGGTGGTATGGGTGGGATGTAGCAGATTTCACGGTGGACCTCAGAGCTGGTAGCCCTCCCTCATCCCCAGCTCATTGCTAAGGGCAAAAGTGACACGAGGTTGTCTTTTACAGGCAGATCCCAAAGCACCGTGGCAGCGAAGCCTCCCCACCCCGTGACTCAGCGAGCCAGGTTGACGCAGTGGGGAAACTGAGGCACAGAGCTAGCAAACGGCTTTCCCGACGTGGCATGGTGCTTGCTTTCCTCCCCCTCCTGTAGCCGCACTTCCTTTCCGAACGGTTAGATCCTTAAAGCAGCTGATGCCATTTTCAAACCCAGCGCAGTTCCCCTCCCTCCAGCGGGGCCCCAGAGCCCACACTGCTAAAAAAAGAGAAGTGAGGGTGAAAATTAAAGGCTTAAGTTAGTGAATTATTTAACAGGGCGGTTGGATCCTGGCACAAATGCCAGGCTCTTAACGAATGCCGCTGCCTTTGGTAGGTGCTTTGGAAACGCATGCAGGAATAAATAATGCATTCGCCACCTAATAATCCCGCTCCCCATAAGCCTGCTCTTGTGGGCAGCTTCCACAGGCAGCAAACCTGGGGCGTGGAGGCCAAGGAGGACAGGTCGCTTCCTATCCAGGGAAGTTGGGAGGCCACCAGCGGTGCGGGTGGGATTGAACAGAAGAGCTGGTGGATCTCAGTGGGAAAACTCACGCTCCGAGCAGGCCGGCCGACCTCCAAACGTACTCCTTCCGGCTGTTTACCAGAACGATGAATTTCTGGGTTAAGAAAAAAAAGAAAGAAAAGGAAGATTTTTCTAGGGTCAAATTGATCCACCTTCACTGATACAATCAAAAGAGTCTCCCATTATCTACTGCATCTGGCATCTGTGTATCAATGCTGTCGCTACGCCATGATCCCCAAGTTGTGGGGACTGTCATGCAGATCGGTGCCTCGCCAAGCACTGATCGGCGGTGCTGGGTGCAGCCGGCTGGACCGTGCTGGGGGCCTGTGTCCCAGGACCGAAGGCATCATCAATGAGTCTTTCTTCCCAAGTAGTGGAGACTTGCCTGGTCCTGACTGATAAAGGGAGGGTGGGTGAGATTACAGCGTCCAGACCTCAATGCCATCGCCGTTTGTATGCTGCCCTCAGAGATGGACTGAGGTTTCATGTGGCAATCGATGGCAGCTGGCAGGAGAGGGCCTGGGGGCAGAGTTAAGGTGACCTGCCAAGGTTTCTACCCAAGCTGGGTCTTCTTTTCCCAGCATATGAGAAAGGAGCATTGGAGAGCCGGGGGGACGACACTGTTTGTTCTTCTCTTGCATGTTCACCTTTACAGATGAGGAAGGCCCAGCCTGGATTTGTGGGAGCAAAAGCAGGAGGTCTAGGAGAACACACTTACTGGTGAGCCAAAAGAGCTGAATTTTTAACAAAGACACCGTTTCTCCTGTGGATGCGGCCAACCTGCTGCTAATAAATGACCCCAAAAGGGAGTGTCAAAACAATCAGACTCTGATAGATCATGAATCTATGCCCTTCCCAGCTCCCCCGCTCAGCTTTCAGCGTTTTGCCTCTTGCAATTTCACCTCTGAAAAACCCCACTTTCCTTCCGCGTGTTAATTCAACCTTCGTGGGATTAAAACAGAAATCATCTCGAAACAGGCTGATTTATCACTCACTTTCCTGGCTGCTCTTAGACAGGTCAGCTCCACTTCCCTCTCGGCTCATCCCCGCCCCCCTTTCAGCGCTCGTGCAAGGCTGGAGTTGAAATCCCTACAGACCACGTCCCATTCAGGTTTAGCTCCTATCGATTGCAGGCCGGTTGATGCTGTGCTTTACCAGACGGCCTTTCGGGGTTTCAGTCGTCCTGACCGTCTCTCTTTCTGGGCAGTGCATTTCCAATCCCTGCACAGTTGCTTTCTCCAGGCACCTCCCTTCTGTTGAACCTAGCCACCGAGCTAATGGAGAGTCCCTGCCAACTCAGGTGTTTCCCTGGCCACTGCATGGCTTGTAGCAGCATGTAAGGTTATTGTGGACAGGGCCCGTGGGGCACCGCCCTCCAGCCCCAGGGGTCTTTACCTCTGCCCTTGCAGCGGGGCATGCTCCCCTCTCTGGAAACTCCTCTATTGATCCCGGAGCTGGGAGTGGGTCGGTTCAGTCTTTGGTGACGAGCCAAGGAGTCTAAATCAATACCATGCTGACCGATCCATCAGCACTGTCAAAGGTTTCGGGAAGCTGGCCCACTCTCCCAGCTGCCTTGCCACCATCTCTGCCATACCCCTGTCTGGCTGCCTGGGGCTTTGCAAGCCCTTTCTCCTTCCCCAGCCCCACCTTGCGATGAAACTTTAAAGAGGGTCTGGAGGCCTGGCCTGCTCGGAAGGGAACAAGGAGGCCTGCTCCATGCTGGACCCCCCCTGGGACTGCAGCTTAAATTCTTGGCACAGCAGAGAGGACAAAATTTGCATCCACAGGCTTTCCAGTAAGTTTTGCAGGCTTGGTATGCTGGAGCCAAGCGGCTGGGGAAGGAGCAGGGACAGCCTGGGAGGTGTAGCCAGGGGTGGGGGCAGAAGGGGACAAAAGTCCCCCACCATGCTGGGAGGACCCCAGCTCCAGCCTTGTGCTACATGGGGGTAGAAGCTCCCAACAGCAATCCCAGCCTGGAGCAGGGGAGGCATGAGGAGCACCAAGCAGACCCCAGCCCAGGGGGACCTCCTGGGGGTCACAGGGAAAATGCCAACAGGTCCATCCCTCCAGCAGCAGGGTGGGCTGGGGTGGGGAGAGGAAACCACAACCCATCAGCTCCACCCTCCTGGCCCCCCTGTCCTGACTACACCTCCTCAACACGGCCAGGACTTACAGCTTCCCTTTCCGTCCGTCCAGGAAGGCCTGGCAGAGCAGAGGAGGATGCAACTCAGGGCAGGGGAAGAAGGGTCAGGACTGGGCTGGGCATCAGCAGGTGCATGGGCAGCAGGGAGGTCGGGGGCCAGGCCAGAGGGGCACCGGAGGCTCCTGCACGGCACGGGGGGCTGCGGGTGGGGGGGCAAGGGATGCACTGCAGGGGCTGTCGTAGCTCCCAGCAGCAGAGAGACTGCAGAGTACCTGCCTGCCTGAGCTGGCCCCAGCCCAGGGCAATTAGCAGCTGGCTTCCCTGCTCGCGCGCGCTCGTACAGCGCTAACAAGAGTCTTCGGAGCCCATTCCCTAGTGACAGCAGCTCCTGACAGCTTGCAGCAGGGACCAGGCCAGCGCTTAACCCCTTCCCAGCCACAAATGCTTCACCTCCTCCAGGCTGCACAAGCAGCGCGGAGAAGCCTGGAGGCAAGCATGTGCTGGAGCAACCGCTGGTCACCGGAGGCCAGGAGCCCAGCTTGGCCAGGTCGTGGGTGGAGCAGGGAAAGGTCCCGGACCCGGGGCCTCTGGGATTTGACCTGGGAATGCAGCCAGGATCTTTTCCGTGTCAGGGTGCATTCCCAGGCAGCCTCAGCGAGAGGAGCATCTGTCAAGCCTTCCTCTGCCCTCCTCCCTCTTGCTGAAACGTGGCCCAATGACTGAAGCCTCAGAGCTGGGGGTCAGGACTCCTGGGTTTCCCGCCAGCTCTGGCCAAAGTTGGGGGGAGGATGGGAGGAGGGATGTAGGAAGGGAATCCCAGGTCAGACCTGGGCCTGACACTGACTCAGCCCGTGGCCTTGGGTGGGACACTGAGCTTCTCTGCCTCAGGTTCCCTATTCGTTTAAACAAGGTGCACAAGACTGGCTCTTCTCCGAGACCAAATGCAGTCTGCTAAGAGCTTCGAGACCCTCTGCTTGTAGGGGCCCGAGCGCTGCAAAGTGCATTGGGAACCCCCCAACTCAGGGCAGAGGAGAGAAGAGGTTGAACAGAGGCACTGCCCCTGCAGCCCAAAACATGGCAGCAAAGCAAGGCAGTGACCCAAGCCCCCTTTCTGAGACAGAAGCAGCTTGCTTTGTGGGCTATAAGGATCGGGCAGTCCTGCTGTGAGCCTGACTGGGAGAGGGCCCTACAGAGTCACTCCACTGCCTCCCAGCTCAAACAGGGCTGCTTCTGGGGATGGCCTGCTGCACTGCATCCCTCAGGGCAGCCCCACACCAGTGCCTGGGGTTGCAGTGAGGCAGCCAAGGACCTAACACAGCTCCTTAGCTGGGTCGAATGCAAAGAGACCGGCTCACAAGCCAGTCAGCTAGGTCTCGTGGAGGCCCAGGATGTGCTTATCAGGAGCTCAGATCATCCCACGGCCCTGGGTGTGCTTATCAGGAGCGCAGATCGTTGCTTCCCCAGGTGCAGGCTTCGTCAGAGGTGGCGCCAGCCCCCATGCTCAGGAAATTTGGCTGGTGAGTGTCACTAGCGTGCAGTCAGGCAGAGCAACAGAAGAAACAGCAGGACTTCTCCCCACGTGATGGGCGAGCGGGTACAGCGTCGATGGCTTAGTGAGGGCAGCTGAAGGCTGCGTTGTTGCAACCACTGTGTCTGCTTTCTAAGCCCATTAACCCCCCTGCACCCAGGGGGGGTACCCCTACATTTGAAATGGCAGCAGCAGGGGCCCCCAAGCGTGCCTGGATGCACGCAGGGGCTTCTCTCCAAGCATGGGAGCGTGGCCGACGTGCTTGACGCTGGGCCCGGGGGATCCCATGGATTCCCTTTGCTGAAACGATGACCTTTTTCTGAGCCCTACCCTCATCCTGTGCCAGACTGAACTGGCTCCAGTGTTAAACAACAGCCCCCTTTTCGAGAGCACGAGGCCTGCATCAGACAATCATCCTGAGCTTCTAGCGGCGCCTCCCCAGCCATACCCCACTCGCGCCTCGTGCCATGTCTTTTGCAGGAGGGCCCGTGTTTGCAGCCTTCCCCTGAGCTCTCACAGCTCATCTCAGAGACAACCCTGGTCAGACACAAACCCCCGGCGCTTTGCAACGGAGACTGGCCAAGAGGGGCAACAGGACTTGCCCAAGGTCCCCCAGGAATTCAGTGGCAGAGCTGGATGCAGGGCTTGGATGCTCTGCTCCTCATTCCCACCCCCTTGGAAGGGCTCAGCTCTCCCCTTGCCTTAGCCCCAGTGTGCGAGCGGTAGCTGGCACATTACAGCTGCTTGGGTTCATGGTCAGCAGAGCAATGAAACATCTTCCTTTGCCCAGAGCCACTCCCTTTCCTCCACTCCCCTTCCCGGCCTGGCTCACAGCTGCCCTCCTCTGCTCAGGCTCTGCCATTTTGGGTGCAGCGATTTGCAGCAGACCAGAAACTTTGATTAAAGCGGCTTAAATGTCACCGCTAAGAAAGGGCCCGGAGGTGGGGAAAGGACCCAGGTACCAGCACTGCAGTGGCTGGCGGGTGGGGGCAGAACAGCCCTGGGGAACCAGAAGGCGCCAGCTGACTTTCACGCGCCGCGTGCGTCAGCGTGCGCTCCGGGAATCAACCCTGCAGGGCTGGCGAGCAGCAATGCTTGCTCAGCTGCCTTGGGGGCAGCTCAGATCAAAACCCCCCAGGGCGGTCAGAGCTGACGAGGAAGGGGTGGTAGTGTCTGCAGGGATGGGCACATAGACCAGATCCAGCTGGCAGTGCAGGCAGAGCCTGTGTCTCAGTTCAGCCCAGGGCAAGTACCGGTAAAGGGCAGCTCTGAATGCAGCAGACGTAGCACGGAGTCACCGCAGGGGTTCACAGACCGTGTCTCTGGCCTGCAGCATGGAGCCAGAGTTGGCCCAGGCCAGCAGCCACCCTCCCACCCTGCCAGGAGCCCCCCCAAGAGGCTCCTGAGCTCCTCCACGAAGCTGCGTTTCAGAGCCAGCTCCCCGAGGAACCCAGGTGGCCGCTAAGCTGCAGCACCGGTGCCAGGAATTCCTCTGCCCTGGGGCTGGCCTGGCACATCCCCTCGAGGGCACAGCTATGTTTAAATGCTGCGGCAGTGGCGGCTGCTGTGAGCATCCCTCACCTGCTAAAGCAAAGGCCTGGAAACAAAACCTCTCCCTGCCGCAGTTGTACCAGCTCGTGGCTGCCCCGTGTTTCCCCCGCTGTGGGATGCGGGCTGTTTTCCTTTGGTTTTACAAGCGCAATGAAAAACATTAGCCCTTAAGGCCCCGAGAGGAACATCCAGCAGTGGGGAAAAAAGCAGCAGAAGAGTCCGAGATCCAAACAATTGCTCCAGCAGGAAAGCAGAGGGAACTGCACTGCCTCTCGGTGCAGAGGGGCCTCGGGAGCTGCGTTCATTCCTGAGGGCAGCGGTGGGCACCTGATGGGATCAACGGGCCTGGAGCCGGCAACTTTGCCAGCGGCTACTGCAGGCTCCCTTCCGATTCCCCACCCCGATCCCCTGCTGCCCTAAACCATGGTGAACAGCGAGGGCAGAGAGAAGGGGTCTTAAACAGGTGCTTTAATGAAGTCTTCCTAAATCAGTGTCCCCCACAAACTGAATCAGACCTCTGCCAGCCTGTGGGACACAGGCGGACAACACCTGGGGGTGGTGGCTAACCAAAGCAGCCCAGGCTGGTCCTTCTTACTGTGATGAAGGACTGAAGAGCAGAAGAGGAAGCCAAAAATCTCCCGGAGTGGCCTCTGCTTTGGTCCCAGCTTTTGGTCCCACCGGGAGTCGGTGCAAACAGGCCGTAAAGATCAATGCATCGAAACGAGCAACCTGTGGTAGGGGCCGCTTGGGAACAGGTTGGTCTGAGGCTACCCAGGGGTGAGCCTGCTCCCCTCTCCCTCCTCCTGATCCACCCGCCTTGCG